ACTACATACTGATATACACCTGAACATCGGCAGGAGAGGACTCTTTAAAGTAGAGACACTACATACTGATATACACCTGAACATCAGCAGGAGAGGACTCTTTAAAGTAGAGACACTACATACTGATATACACCTGAACATCAGCAGGAGAGGACTCTTTAAAGTAGAGACACTACATACTGATATACACCTGAACACCAGCAGGAGAGGACTCTTTAAAGTAGAGACACTACATACTGATATACACCTGAACATCAGCAGGAGAGGACTCTTTAAAGTAGAGACACTACCTACTGATATACACCTGAACATCAGCAGGAGAGGACTCTTTAAAGTAGAGACACTACATACTGATATACACCTGAACATCAGCAGGAGAGGACTCTTTAAAGTAGAGACACTACATACTGATATACACCTGAACATCAGCAGGAGAGGACTCTTTAAAGTAGAGACACTACATACTGATATACACCTGAACATCAGCAGGAGAGGACTCTTTAAAGTAGAGACACTACATACTGATATACACCTGAACACCAGCAGGAGAGGACTCTTTAAAGTAGAGACACTACATACTGATATACACCTGAACACCAGCAGGAGAGGACTCTTTAAAGTAGAGACACTGCATACTGATATGCACCTGAACATCAGCAGGAGAGGACTCTTTAAAGTAGAGACACTACATACTGATATACACCTGAACATCAGCAGGAGAGGACTCTTTAAAGTAGAGACACTACATACTGATATACACCTGAACACCAGCAGGAGAGGACTCTTTAAAGTAGAGACACTACATACTGATATACACCTGAACACCAGCAGGAGAGGACTCTTTAAAGTAGAGACACTACATACTGATATACACCTGAACAACAGCAGGAGAGGACTCTTTAAAGTAGAGACACTACATACTGATATATACCTGAACACCAGCAGGAGAGGACTCTTTAAAGTAGAGACACTACATACTGATATACACCTGAACACCAGCAGGAGAGCACTCTTTAAAGTAGAGACACTACATACTGATATACACCTGAACATCAGCAGGAGAGGACTCTTTAAAGGAGAGACACTACATACTGATATACACCTGAACATCAGCAGGAGAGGACTCTTTAAAGTAGAGACACTACATACTGATATACACCTGAACACCAGCAGGAGAGGACACTTTAAAGTAGAGACACTACATACTGATATACACCTGATCATCAGCAGGAGAGGACTCTTTAAAGTAGAGACACTACATACTGATATACACCTGAACATCAGCAGGAGAGGACTCTTTAAAGTAGAGACACTACATACTGATATACACCTGAACATCAGCAGGAGAGGACTCTTTAAAGTAGAGACACTACATACTGATATACACCTGAACATCAGCAGGAGAGGACTCTTTAAAGTAGAGACACTACATACTGATATACACCTGAACATCAGCAGGAGAGGACTCTTTAAAGTAGAGACACTACATACTGATATACACCTGAACATCAGCAGGAGAGGACTCTTTAAAGTAGAGACACTCCATACTGATATACACCTGAACATCAGCAGGAGAGCACTCTTTAAAGTAGAGACACTCCATACTGATATACACCTGAACATCAGCAGGAGAGCACTCTTTAAAGTAGAGACACTACATACTGATATACACCTGAACATCAGCAGGAGAGGACTCTTTAAAGTAGAGACACTACATACTGATATACACCTGAACATCATCAGGAGAGGACTCTTTAAAGTAGAGACACTACATACTGATATACACCTGAACATCAGCAGGAGAGGACTCTTTAAAGTAGAGACACTACATACTGATATACACCTGAACATCATCAGGAGAGGACTCTTTAAAGTAGAGACACTACATACTGATATACACCTGAACATCAGCAGGAGAGGACTCTTTAAAGTAGAGACACTACATACTGATATACACCTGAACATCTACAGGAGAGGACTCTTTAAAGTAGAGACACTACATACTGATATACACCTGAACATCAGCAGGAGAGGACTCTTTAAAGTAGAGACACTACATACTGATATACACCTGAACATCAGCAGGAGAGGACTCTTTAAAGTAGAGACACTACATACTGATATACACCTGAACATCAGCAGGAGAGGACTCTTTAAAGTAGAGACACTACTGTACATACTGATATACACCTGAACATCAGCAGGAGAGGACTCTTTAAAGTAGAGACACTACATACTGATATACACCTGAACATCAGCAGGAGAGCACTCTTAAAGTAGAGACACTACATACTGATATACACCTGAACATCAGCAGGAGAGGACTCTTTAAAGTAGAGACACTACATACTGATATACACCTGAACATCAGCAGGAGAGGACTCTTTAAAGTAGAGACACTACATACTGATATACACCTGAACATCAGCAGGAGAGGACTCTTTAAAGTAGAGACACTACATACTGATATACACCTGAACATCAGCAGGAGAGGACTCTTTAAAGTAGAGACACTACATACTGATATACACCTGAGCATCAGCAGGAGAGGACTCTTTAAAGTAGAGACACTACATACTGATATACACCTGAACATCAGCAGGAGAGGACTCTTTAAAGTAGAGACACTACATACTGATATACACCTGAACATCAGGAGGAGAGGACTCTTTAAAGTAGAGACACTACATACTGATATACACCTGAACACCAGCAGGAGAGGACTCTTTAAAGTAGAGACACTACATACTGATATACACCTGAACATCAGCAGGAGAGGACTCTTTAAAGTAGAGACACTACATACTGATATACACCTGAGCATCAGCAGGAGAGGACTCTAATTAAAATCTTTAAACAACTTTATTTCAGTCTGTGCTAAAGTACTGAAAAGAAGAGGCAAGCTAAAAGCTGCTGTAGAGAGAGAGGAAGTTGAGCTGTGTGACGCAGTAAAGTTACACAACAGCAGCTCTGCAAGTCATCACCGCTCGGAGAGATTAGAGCGCGTTGTCTTCTCTCAAGAACCCGGATATCTGATCATAACTATGTCTGTTTGAACAGTGACTCACAGGCACTCCTGTCGCTTTATTACACAGAGAACAAATCAGTGACGAGCAAACTGCTCAGCAATAAATCAAGTGTGTGTGTGCGTGTGAGAGAGAGAGAGAGAGAGTGTGTGTGTGTGTGTGTGTGTGAGAGAGTGAGTGAGTGAGTGAGTGAGTGAGTGAGTGAGTGAGTGAGTGAGTGAGTGAGTGAGTGAGTGTGTGTGTGTGTGTGTGTGTGTGTGTGTGTGTGTGTGTGTGTGTGTGTGTGTGAGTGACTGAGTGAGTGTGTGTGTGTGTAAGGATATTTAACACCACAAAAAAATCGGCAGCAGGACCGATTTGAAATATAAAAAAAGTTTGAAAATCAAATAATGGCACATCTCTACCCAAAAGAGTTTTCAAGTTAGTGTACATACATACTTGTATTATAGATAAATAATAAAGAAAAGTGACGATTCTGTGAAGGTTATTTTTAAGTTAATTCAAGTCTTAAATAAATAAAAAACAATTAATTAATTAATGAAAATAAAGCGCTTTTCCAGTAATTGCGACCCCATCGCTTTTACATATACCACTCAGTATTCACCCATTCATACACACATTCATACACACATCTATACATATACACACACATTCATACATGCACACACACATTCATACATGCACACACACATTCATACATGCACACACACCCACACTGTTTGTTATCAGGAGCAATTTGGGGTTAAGTATCTTGCCCAAGGAAACCTCGACATGTTACAGGGGCTGGAAATCCACGACCTCCCAATTGTAGGATGACCATCTACCTCCTGGGCCACATCCTCCTCTGTATGTGTATGTGTGTGTGTGTGTGTGTGTGTGTGTGTGTGTGTGTGTGTGTGTGTGTGTGTACTCACCCTGCACACGGACATCTGGTTGGTGGTGAGCGTCCCTGTTTTGTCGGAGCAGATGACCGAGGTGCACCCGAGCGTCTCCACGGAGGGCAGGCTCCTGACGATGGCGTTCTTCTTGGCCATGCGGCGCGTCCCTAACGCCAGGCAGGTGGTGATGACGGCGGGCAAACCTTCGGGAATGGCGGCCACGGCCAACGCCACGGCGATCTTGAAGTAATAAACGGCGCCTCGGATCCAGGAGCCGCCGTGCACCGGGTCGTTGAAGTGTCCGATGTTGATCATCCACACGGCGATGCAGATCAGAGAGATGACTTTGGAGAGCTGCTCCCCGAACTCGTCCAGTTTCTGCTGCAGCGGCGTCTTCTCCTGCTCCGTCGCCGCCATCTCATCACGGATCTTCCCGATCTCCGTGTTCACGCCCGTAGCCACGGCGACGCCGACCGCCTTCCCGGCCGCGATGTTGGTGCCCTGAGGAAATAACAAGGATTATATACATGTTTGTACCCTTAAAAAATGACATACACGACCAGTCAAACGTTTGGATACACCTTGTCATTCGAAGTTTCTTATGTTCTTATTATATTCTGAATTTATTTTAACACTAACACTTTTTTGTTAACTAGATAATTCCATATGTGTTCTTTCATAGTTTTGATGTGTTCAGTATTAATCTACAAAGTAGAACAACAATTAAAACAAACAAAAAACATTGAATGAGAAGGTGTCCAAACTGTTGAGTGGTACTGTAGATAATAATACATGTGGTCATTTTAATTGGGTTGTGTGAGGTACTTATCAAGTCACTCTATCTCCATATATCCACTCTAATCATCATTAAACTCTTTATTAGTGCTTATACACCACTGTCTATATTGTTTACACATTGTTACATCATTATTGTTGTTGTTATTAATAATTGTTATGTTAACCTAACTTAAATAAAAAAAAAGAAATTCTTATTGGATTTTTTTCTTTAACTTATAGTTTCAATGTATATTTTATTATCTATATATTCACATCCACCACTGCCTATATTGCATACACATGTTACATTTATTATTGTTTTATACTTTAGGTAAATGTGCACATTTTACTTTTATAACTTTATTTTCTTCTTGCATTTTTGAGTTAGCCGGTTGGCCTAATCCAAAACATACGCGCTCTCGCTAAACTGTACTACGACGCTGGTTATCAAGTGGATCGCTCAAGCCAGCCGTTTCCTATTTAGTTAGGTGCGCGTTCACATGAAAGGGGTGGTATCTGGAGCATTCGACCAATCAGAAACATGGAGAAGCGCACTGACAGCGCAGCGTCATACTTCCTGAATGAAAAGTCAACTAAAATATTAGACAAATATGAAGAAGTTAAACTTTAAACATCCATGACTTAAACACTTGATCCAGGATCAAAGCCACAGAGCTGCACCTGCAAGGTGAATACAGCTGGGAACAGAACAAGTGTTTGAATGCGTACATTAACAGGTTTATGATATCACTGCCCCGTCTAAAACACGATCTGACTTTAATTACATTTGACTCGAGTGTTTCGTCAACTTAATGTGTTGCTTAAAATAATACTTCTGCATACAGTATGTGACACTGTGAGTGTTGCACGGCCAGATACGGCTCAGCTGACTCAGATAAGGAAATATATGATACATTATGAAGTGATATGCCGCGGACTGTACTTAATGTTACTCTGATCCGGTTACTTATGTTGTGGCAGATATTTAAGTAAGATTTCTTAACGCTAGGGATGCTCCGATCGATCGGTCACCGATCGATATCGGCCGATACTCACTCTCTACTGATCGATCGGTATCTAACACACTTAGCTATTTGATCTACCTCTGGAACAAGCTAAACTAGTTATTATACATATATTTATTCTTCACTGTCGGGTCACTCATTACTGGATCAGTGAGCTGCATGAGATACTGACAGGCTGTCAGGAGAGAGAGAGAGAGAGAGAGAGAGAGAGAGAGAGAGAGAGAGAGAGAGAGGAGAGAGAGGGAGAGAGGGGGAGAGAGAGGGATAGAGAGAGGAGAGAGAGAGAGAGAGAGAGAGAGAGAGGAAAAGAAAGCGCTTCCGCTCATTTCTCCCGTGTTATTTTCCAAAGTGAATGTAAAAATAATGTACATCATTTGAATGTAATAATTAAGTTGATTGTTTGTGGAAGCTCCAGTGAATGAGCATTAACTGAGTTTAACCATCACTTTAAATGGAAAATTTAAAGTGATGTTTAAATCTTCCATTTAGGCCCCGCCCACCCGAAATTGGCGATCGGAGCATCCCTACTTAACGCTAATGTTATAATAGTCAGATTGCTCTGAAGATGGAGGTGATATTCTATTAATGTTCTCGTTCACACAGTCGGTGATTTTTGCCGGCCGTCTTTCCTGCGACGGCAGCTTTTCTGTATTTCCTTTCTCCTGTAATATGACTTGATCGCTTTAAACTCCGCACACTGAGCTCTGATTGGTCAGCAGGCGGTGCTTTCACTGAGTTGAGCTCTTAGTCTGCAACCTAACCTGCTCCCGACCAGGTTAGCCGCTAAGCATAAGTTACCATGGAGATCTAGCCTGCTAAAAAGAGAACCAGCTTCGTAGGACCGGAAAGCCGGAGTTTTCCCTGAATTTAGCCGGCTAAGCGAAAATCCTGCTTCATAGTATACCCCCCAGGAAGTGAACAGAAAGTAAACAAACACGAGGAGAGAAACAGGAAGTGAGACTTACGGAGAACATCATGTTCTTCTTGTCCTGGTTGACGGCTCGGGGGTCCGGCACGGGGTCCGTGTGTTTGATGACGGACACGGACTCACCTGCAAACACAACAGGGGGTTAAATCTGAGGGTCTGCAGGCGATGTGAGGAACAAAGCACTGACTGAGATCTCTACTTAGAGGGTATCTTTATAATACCCCTGTCACTAGTCAGGTGTACAGGTCTTAAAGGGGTTAGGGCTATGAAACCTTTGTGAGCAAACAATAGCACATGTTTGTAGTGTCAGCCTTCCTGTGTAAAGAAATATATAATCAGATATCAAGATGAAGTTAAAGAAGAGAATCAGACACATGAATATGGTTTTATAGTTGAGACCAAATGCAGATGTTAACAGGAGAAAATGACTTAATGTGATGTCTTGCACAAGAACAGATCCTCCACTCAGTCTGTGGCTCAAGTTGTACGTTCAATAAGGTACGGAGACCATTCCTTTCCTGGAGCACTTCATTATTGACATTACTGTGACTGTTCTTTTGTTTTAATTTCCCTTTCTGGTTTTCTCTCTATTGTCCTTGACTTCCAGCTTTTTGTTCTGCTCCTGAAACGTTGTGTATGCTTTTGCATTTTGCTCAGGTTTGATGTTGGGACTGGAGAAGGGTGTGTGTGGGTGCAGTGTGTATTGTTTGTAGAACATGTAAATACAAGAAGAGAAACTGGTGTATTTAATAAAACCTGTCACAGGAAAATGGAAATGTTCTCACCGGTGAGGATGGACTGGTCGACCCTCAGAGTCGTGGATATGATGGAACAGATCCGGATGTCAGCGGGAACCTTGTCTCCAACTGGGGATAGAAACAAAATGCAGAAGAATGAGGATCATGAACACAGGATAGCGTTATATTAACATATATATCTTTTAATGAGGTCAACTGAAGGCTTGTTTTAACACTGAAACACAACATGCAGGGAATCTCAAGCAAAACCACTATTTCATTTTGGGGCTTTTACTTGTAATTGGTCAATGTTGAGACACATGTTTAATATTCTTATTTAATAGATAAGAGGTTCAGTACTTCATTGTGTCTCAAAAGCATATTGTGAAAACATTCACGATATATGCAGTAGAGTAAAAGTATAAGTAGCATACAATGGAAATACTCAAAGTGTGTCTAAATGCTACTTAATGTTACAGGAGTTAATGTGTGTTAATGTGTGTGTGTGTGTGTGTGTGTGTGTGTGTGTGTGTGTGTGTGTGTGTGTGTGTGTTAATGTGTGTGTGTGTGTGTGTGTTAATGTGTGTGTGTGTGTGTGTGTGTGTGTGGTCTAGCATTACTATACTTGTGGGGACCTAAATATGTTTACATAGTCACGTGTGGGGACTCGCTTCCCTTATGGGGACAAATTGGAGGTCCCCATGAGGGGAACCATTAATTTTAGGGTGAAGACTTGGTAAGGTTTAGGGTTAGGGTTAGGCATGTGTTGGTTATGGTTAAGGTTAGGATAAGTCTCCAGGAAATGCATGTAAGTCAATGTAATGTCCCCTGAAGTGATGTATACGTGTGTGTGTGTGTGTGTGTGTGTGTGTGTGTGTGTGTTGTTTACAGGCTAAATGAAGATTTAACAGCTGACAGTGTGTATTTTCTGCAGGCAGTTACTCAGTGTTAGTGTACAGTAAACGGATAAAGAGCTCGTTAACGGAGGAGGAGGAAGAGGAGGAGGAGGAGGAAGAGGAGGAAGAGGAAATGAACGACCCGTCTCAGAGGAAAAGGCTAATTTAGCACCATGAGAGAGAAAGTGACCCAGTTCAGATCCTGAAGGAGAGGAGGAGCGTCTGCATATAGACCTGATGCAGATTATATTAATCAATCAGAATTCATAAAAAATGTTGACCATTATAAAAATTATTTTGTTATATTTTATATTTGTATATCGTTATTATTTAGAATTTTTGTTCTGTAACGCATTATTTTTTAAATTAAATACAGCGCATTTGACTCCTTGATTAAAACATGAACTCATTTTAAATCCACAAATGTAACTGTCTCAGTAGATGCCTGTCGGTCATTTGAAGGATCCCCCCCCCCCCTGTTAGACACTGAAATAAACACAAAAGGTTTCCTAAGAACCGAAAAGCTTTGATTCATCCTCCATGGTTACCACACACACACACACACACCCACACACACACACACACACACACACACACACAACACACACACACACACACACACACACACACACACACACACACACACACACACACACACACACACACACACACACACACACACACCACACACACACACACACACACACACACACACACACACACACACACAACACACACACCACACACACACACACACACACACACACACACACACACACACACACACACACACACACACACACACACACACACACACACACACACACAGCCATGACTCCTGGCTCAGCTGTGTGTGTGTGTGTGTGTGTGTGTGTGTGTGTGTGTGTGTGTGTGTGTGTGTGTGTGTGTGTGTGTGTGTGTGTGTGTGTGTGGTGCAGTTACTCAGCAGACCTGATGAAGTGTGTGTTCTTCGTCTCTTTGTATCAACATCCTGCTCGGTAACAGTCCAACTGTCCTCAGGCATGGCCGGTGTTAGAAAGTACATTTACTAAAAGTGCTTGAGTACTAAAGGACACATTTAAAGTACTTGTACACAACTCTATACACATGTTTACCAACTGCAGCAGTAAAGGGATGAATACCTTCACCAATAAATAAAATGCAATAAAACAATATATGTAGGGCCATCCTGCATAAGGAGTACTTTTACTTCTTCCGCAAGGATATTCAAGTATCAAAAACTTTATTGACAGAAGCACAGAGTGTGGTTTGGCCAATGTAAATCCTACATATTATTGTATACTACATTTAAGACATACAACAAATATATAAATGACTTCATGTTGCCACTCAAATGCAGGAATACATAAACTACACGAGGGTGTGTGGCGCAGTGGGTTGTGCGCTGGTGTTGGGATCAGGGTTCAAACCCCACTGCAGTCAGCATGTCATTGTGTCCCTGAGAGGTGATTGTCCACAGTATTGAGTATGTAAGTCGCTTTGGATAAAAGCGTCTAACAAGTGACATGTAATGTAACTAAACTCATGCTAAGTCAAATGAGATAACACAAAATGTGAAAGAAATACTTAAATGTACTTTATATTGTAATTGTACTTTGTATGTATTGTCGTGTCCTGCCCTGTAAATATCAATGTTTTTTAAGTACAATCTTTAATAATTAGTTGTAGTCTTTTTCTTTTAATGCAGGACTTTTAGGATTATTATTAAACTGTAATATTGTGTGTGTGTGTGTGTGTGTGTGTGTGTGTGTGTGTGTGTGTGTGTGTGTGTGTGTGTGTGTGTGTGTGTGTGTGTGTGTGTGTGTGTGTGTGTGTGTGTGTGTGTGTGTGTGTGTGTGAGGACTTCCTTTACCTCCGGCCACTTCTTCCCCTCTGAACATTACTTAACAAAGCCCTGACATGTTTGGCAGAGTGTTGTGTTCGAGTGCAGCTGCCTCCTCCGTGTGTCGGAGCTTCAACACGTGCAGCCGGCAGCCGAACAAAAGCCGACCTGCTGACGCCCGAAGAGTCGGGAATCAAACCGTCGACAGGTGTCCGGCACAGACCCCATGGATTGACATGTATAAAGACCCCACTCTGAGATATTATCACTACATCTTTTGATAACATTTATTATAATGTATTTCCTTTTTTCACATGCAGTTTGTCAATATATATTTGTATCTAATAAAAAGGTTTTTATCGCATTCTGTGTCTCCATTAGGGGCTGCAACTTACGTCTATTGTCACAGTTAATCCTGTAAAAATGTCAAAAACAATAGTGAAACATTTCCATCATTCTTAATCTTTTATACAAAGATATTTATTTTTAATACGATGTAAAACAGGAACAAATTTAAATGTTTCCATATTTGCGAGGCTAATAAAAGAAATGTTCAGATGTTTTTGCATGAAAATTACTTTTAAAATGTGCCACTGTGTGATTTTATACTTCTAGTTGCAGCTGTACCGTCTAACAGGAGTATTTTGCATGCATGTAAATGGTGTGGATAATGCAGAAATCGTATTATTTGCTCAGTACGACAGAAAGCAGTGAGCACACAGCAGCAGAGTGTCTTATGTGTATTCTCTTAGGAGGACAATCAATATTTGCCAACAGCTAACGACTTTCTGGATGTTTTTCTACAACGACATCTCTGTCTCGTCTCGTCGTTTGATATACATATATCCACATAGCATCAAACCCTTTCTGTTGCCAAAGTAAACACTAACTTGTCCCACGACTAGCGACTGGCAGCAAAGATAAAAGTATAGCCCGACAGAAACAACATTAACCGTGAGGGAATTCATTCTGCATTTAAGTCTTTATCAAGATCAACCAGTAAACCTCAGATGCTGCCATTACAGATAGCCACCATTTCTGATTATATATTTAATATTCAAGTCATTTGTAATGCTAAAATGTAAGAAAACGCCTTTCAAATGTGGAGATTTCCCACTTTTCTTTGTTTTATATCATATTAAGTGATTATATTTTTGCATGAATGACAAAACAAGACATTAAAAGACCCTTTATTTCAAATAAATATCAAGAACATATGTAATGCTCCTCCATCTGTACTCTTATTGAATGCTTTTTGAGCAATTCTTCTTTAAATATGGTAATTAATATGTATTTCTTTGGTTTAGGTACAACATGTGAACAACTCAATTAAGTGGCATTTTTAATGACTAGTTATATCCTACATTTTCTTATAATTTTGTTTGTTTAACATTAACTTTTTTGCTCGATTAGCAAACTGTTTCTAAGTTGCCAAAATGTTCCCTCGGGTCACTTTACTGTAGTTCTTCTTATTCTACGCTTTTAAGTAGCTACTGTAACACTTAACATGAAACCTAACACGTATCTGAGTTCTCTCTGCAGCGACACTAGCATGTTAAATTAAACCGGGTCAGTTTATATTCCATGTGTTGGCAGCGGGTCAGAGGGTTAATTCTCTGCATGTCTTCAGGTTAGCGCTGTCAGCTCCTCATTAACGGCTGACCCGCGTTAAAGTGTGACCTCTAACTGTGACATATATATAACAGGACAGCATAGCACGAATTCCCAGCATGCAGTGCAGCGGGACTCGGGGTTAACAAGGCTGGGGCTGCTTCAATAATGGAGAAATAATGAAGAGGAATACTAGCTGATAATTGAGATTCATACAGAGCTGCAGTACACAAAAAGGGTCTCTTTATGTAAGTTATGAAACGCAACGTCACTATTGTTCATCCTGCGTCTGTTGATGCTGAAATGATTTATGCTACAGCCCTTTGTCCGACATCATAGCACTCATGATGTCTCCTGCCGATGTTCATATCAGTATGTAGTGTCTCTACTTTAAAGAGTCCTCTCCTGCCGATGTTCATATCAGTATGTAGTGTCTCTACTTTAAAGAGTCCTCTCCTGCCGATGTTCATATCAGTATGTAGTGTCTCTACTTTAAAGAGTCCTCTCCTGCTGATGTTCAGGTGTATATCAGTATGTAGTGTCTCTACTTTAAAGAGTCCTCTCCTGCTGATGTTCAGGTGTATATCAGTGTGTAGTGTCTCTACTTTAAAGAGTCCTCTCCTGCTGATGTTCAGGTGTATATCAGTATGTAGTGTCTCTACTTTAAAGAGTCCTCTCCTGCTGATGTTCAGGTGTATATCAGTATGTAGTGTCTCTACTTTAAAGAGTCCTCTCCTGCTGATGTTCAGGTGTATATCAGTATGTAGTGTCTCTACTTT